GCATTCTAAAATGCAATAAGCAATAATTTCGTCTTACAATACAGTAATTGTACTGCCGTCGAGAGCGTTCTTATTAATTTATTTCGGGTACATAATTCAAAGTCGGGCACCTGAAATAATATGAACTAAACCGATCACGGTAATTTATTTACGCATAAAAGCGAGGTATCTCATGGTTCCTAATTGGGTCCCTTACTATTAATTCGCACTATTTTTTGATTTAAGACGTTGTTTCGATATAACTTTGAAAGTAGAACCAATATTATTTAGTACTATGCTTGTCGAATATTGGCAGATTAAAAGTAAGAGGTACCTTCACGCATTTATAAAAAAGAGGACTCGTGCATAACGTTAAGGTCACATTCTACACGAAAAAAATACGCACCTTATTTTATTATTAAGCAGGGTATTGATTACAAGAAGACAATCAAAACTATTTCATAGTAAACCGTTGTGCAAGTATCTTCACCGCTATGGTCATGTCATTGATTAAAGTAATTGAAGTGGGTAGGCTAAGACGGATGACATCTGATCAAAAACTATTTCAACAGACCCACATCCCACTGAATTTTTTCTTGATCGAATTACTGACAAGGTTATATTTTACGATTCATGGTCAATATCAATTATTGTAGTGCGCCTTTGTTTAGAAATAAATAATAATCCGCGTGAAGGTTGCACTGCCAAGACAAACTTTCTAGATCGGTTTTTGAAGATATGATGTTTAAAAAAACATATATCCACTAAAACGCCCCAGTGGTGTATGGTTTTTTAATGAACCTGGTCTCTATGGGTTGAAATTGAAGATCTACCTACAGCTGTAAATGACAAAGAGTAAAACCATTTAAGGTATGCAAAAAATTGGTGACAGAAGGAAGGAACTATTTATTTTTCAAATCAACTGAACGTTCAAAATGTTCGTTTCGTGTAGGAGCTACACCGCCAAGCCCCAAAATTTGTGTTTCACCTTTAGTTTCTTTCAAAATCAACCACAACACATCCAAGGATTTTGCAAAAAATTTCCGAAAATAGTGCTCTGGACGCACCATTCTAAGTTTGATCTATATTACTTTTTAGCGCATTTTGCAAATTTATTTGTAAAAAGTAGCTTTTAATCTCACTTTGGCTGGCTGGCTGGCAGCAAATGTGGGCGCGTAGAAGAACTCTTATAGAAAGGCAACGGGTGTACGTTTATCTACAGGGCCGTGAAATTTGTCAACCTTAGGGACATGGCTACATGATGTGGGGTTGGCGACATCTGGGCGTCATCCTCGAGCGTAGTATACTAACGTGAAGGTTTTTCAGTTTTTTCCTATCTTCTACTACAGTTTTGGTCCGATTCTTTTCAAATTGGTGTCGTCGGAAAGATGTTGTAAACGCGCACAACTCCTGCGTGGCGGAATTTTGTTTTTTGTCATAGGAGCGAAATTAACGACCTTTTGCGAGGCGCGCGCGCGTCTTCGAGAGGTAGTCTACTTTGGGCGCCTTTTACCTTCCGTTGCGAACTCACGCGGTTTAACGTTTCGTAAATCTCGAGTCGCTGTCTCTCTTTCTCGTGTCTCCAATAGAAGTGAATTGCGAGTGAACGGGACGTCGGAAGTGGGTACCGTCAAAGGGAATGTGGTAGCCCGCTTCACGATCTTATTGATGGTGTAGTCAAATCTTCAACCGCGAATGGCGGGTGAACGGGACGTCGGAAGTGGGTACCGCCAAAGAGAATGTGGTAGCCTCCGACACGATCTTCCTGATGGTGGAGTCAAATCTTCAAACGCGAATTGCGGGTGAACGGAACGTCGGAAGTGGGTACCGTCAAAGGGAATGTGGTAGCCCCCGACACGATCTTACTGATGGTGGAGTCAAAACTTTAAAAGCGAATTGCGGGTGCACGCGGAAAGTGGTAATGTGAATGTAGTAGCCTTCGACAAGATCTGTTATTGATGGTTGAATCGAAAGTGGCTAATAGAATACTGATCTGCCACACAAAAATGCGCTGAAGTCCCTTCGATCTCAAACGAGGACTTTGATAATTTTTTTATAGCACTTTGTCACATCAGTCAACTAAACTGGTGCGAACTATCCTGATGAACAACTTTTCTACCGGCACTCAATTTGATTGAAGATTGAATAAATAACCAAATACGTTTTATTACGCATGGAAACTAATTGTCGGTTTAACGATTTTCCTATTTTCATTGCAGATGAAATGCCTACCATTTTGGAAAAATATTTTCTTAGCTGAAAGAGATACAGAAAAATGTAAGATTTTTGTTTTCCTTTTTTTAAAATCTTTATTGCAACTTTTTGAATTTGAGTTTGATATGGAATTGATAATACTTAGTACTTACTTTGTTATACACGTAAGTTGTTTCTTGTGTTATTTTAAATTCAAAATATTTGTACTACTAATTATCCGATAACAAATAAATTGTAGTTGTCAACAAACCTGCCATCTTTTGTGCGGCATGGAAACCTAAATGAAATAAAAATACTTTTACAGTATAAAATGCAATATTTCAAATATAATATTTTATATTAAAAAAATGTAACGAGTAATACATCAAAATTTGGGAAATTTTGCGCTCTTCACTTCGTAATATATAGGTTGATTCGTATGAAAAAATTTGTTTAGGAAAAAACTAAACACCCAAAAAATGATCTAGGTAAGATCTTCAATTATGTATCTTAATAACGAGAAAGTGATAGAGCATTAAACAAAACGACTAAATTCCAGAAACGCACCCTAGCGACCAAACAATTAAAAATAGCTGAATTCTCTTTGCACCAGTGATTTTCTTTTAAGCTTGACCGCAAGACACGTAGGTCCATTTTTTTCCATCTCTTACAATAAAGGGTATTTCCATAGGAAAGTGTCCAATTTGGACAACCCTATACACGATGTAAGGTGGCTTAGTTGAGAGAAATTTCTGGAAAGGTTTTATAATTTTTAACTGCGGCACGCATCATGGATGGTTTTTTTTAGCAGATATAACAGACATCTGTAATAGGTCCAACGTTGATCTTCAAGGAAAAGGTAAAATCGTTATGGAAATGATAAGTTCCACAAATACCTTACGTTGTTGCTGAAATCACAATTTAAAAAAAGTGTTCTAATTTAAGAAGACTCGAGCCCTTAGAGAAATTATCCGCAATGTAAATAAATAGATACCTTCCTCTGACACTCCATTTCGCGACAGGTATTCACAAATCGCCATCCGTAGATACGTCTCGTTTAAGCGTACCAACGGCCCTTTGAGAGTATCCTCCTCCGACAATTTAATTCTTTCCGTTAAAACGTTTCATTAGAGCGCCATGATAGATAAAAGCGCCCCCCCCCCCGCGCCCTCTATTTTGATAAGGGGTAAGGAAGGCGGTAGTACGTAGAAAACCGTTTCTTTCGTTGAAACCTTTAATTGGCATATCATGAAAGGTAAAATAAATTTCAAAATTCCAGATCTACAGGAAAATTCCCCTAAATGCAGTTTAAAACAACAGAAGTGGATCCTGACAGACGGACAAAACCTCAAAAATAGCAAATTTATTCCTTACCTCTACGAAGGTGTTTCTTCACAAATGAAATACATACCGTACTTATTTTACCAATGAACACAATCCTGTATTCCTTCGAGTCTCGATAATTACGAACAATCGTTTGATAAATTAATCGAAAATATGCAGTGTCATGCGTCAACCTCAAAATAAATAAATATTCGTTTCTCTTTTTCAATGTTTCGATAATTATTTCTTGTATACTGCATTCATTCTTTAATTTTTTTGAAATATCCCTCACAAGAAAACTCTTTCATAGTACAAGTAGCTGGTAGATCGTGCAGGATTGTGCAAAATAGTAGATCAAACGATCAAAAAGTTAATCACCTCTACTACAAACCATTATACTGCAATCCATTATCTATACGTAAACAAGATTACAACTAACAAATAGTAATTAGTATACGAAACATGTTTGTACAAATAGTTTATTTACACATAAATATTTCAGATCGCAAAAAACACTGCCCGTGGTCTCATGGCAGGGTGTTTAAACCAGCTGGGTCAAAATCAATAGACTCGTTTCCCTGATGATCTTAAATTGCTACGCGTATTTTGATGGGACTATGGTAGTCAAACTTGTAGACAGACAGACATGATAAAATCTAAAATGACATCTAATAATTAGAATATGAGTGCTTGTATTTTATAAAACAGAATGTTCGTTCAAGACAAAAATAATGATCACCATGGCATTGCATTACTAAGTGAAGGTTAATGGCCAATGACCAATTATGTATAATTAACAACAAATTAAAATACTTCTTGATCTCAATTTATCTAGCAATAAACGGAACAATAAGAAAAGAATCAAAAGCAATTTTACAACTTGTTGAATGCCGAAGACCAAAACTTAAAAAAACAAAAATGGCTTTAACTTCGAAAGCACCGGGCTCTCACCAAACGCTTTCGTTTGGTTTGCAAAAAAAGTGTTTTAATTCATGAAATGATGGTGATTAGATTTGCGGTTTCCCAAATAATTCCCGGTAAACGAAAATGTGTGACGTCACTGGTCACGACATCGAAACATTCGACAGGGAATAAATCAATGTTGTTAGTACGAGTTGCTAAGAAACGCGCTAAAGAATTGTGCAGGTACCGAAAACTCTATCGAAATCCGTTTAATTTAAATTCCGGAAACCGGAAGAGCGTGACATGCGAATTTTTACGTGAATCCGTTAGAAATAACGCTCTAAATATAACGACAGCTGATAAAATCTGATCGGTTGTACTTCAGAGTGAACCGTGACTATTGAAACAAAATTAAGTAAACGTGTAAATCGGAGTTGGCTTGTGGAATTTACTAGCGATTTTTTTTCTACCATTGCTAGTACAAAGCCATGCTCTTTATGCTTGTACGACAACGCCGGTTCGATTTCGTGGAGTATACGCCAAAGTAAACGTAACTTTATTACTTAACCAACCGGTAAATCGATATATTAAAGGTTACTTACCGACTTTGCACAAGTTGAGCACTTTTATGACAAATAACACACAAATTAAGAAACGAACAGCAATGGCGGTACTTCGTTGTAAATAATAATGGAGCTTGTGGGCAGATATTGAATTGCGCATGTGACGATGTATATTGCGCCGAATAGTTTCTGCTTGCGCCATCTATGGCTCAGTATATGCTAGTATAGGGAGCTGTACCTAAAGATCTAGTATGATCTTTGCTGTACCTAAGCATTGTTTAAACAATGCTCTAGTACAGCTTTGAATGTAATTCAAAGAGTACAGTACATTTACCATTTTTTTCCGTATTTAAACAAATTATGCCCTGCTCTATTTTAGTTTTCGCATTGTTCAAGTAATGGACAATAAAAACTAAATACCTACCCTCTACCGGACGGACAAATTAGTAGCACTTTTTAAATACGCTAAAAATACGCTTAAATAAAAGCAAAAAAAATATAATATGGCATGTGTCCACGTGTACTGGATTTTAATTACATGAAAAAGGAACCAAAAAACGAGTGTGTGATTTTGAACTTTCTGTGCGACCGTCCGTCCGTCTGTGTACATACATGATAACTCACGAACGGTTTCGAATTTTCCAGTTCTGGTTAAAGTAATAGGTAGACAATGGTTAAGGAACTAATAAGTGATTCAATTTTGGTCAATAATCGTCAACCGAAAGTGACCTTGTAGCTCGTTGGTGCATTGGTGCAGTTTATTAGGATTTAGGAAGATGTCTCTTTATACATTTTTCTAAAGCGAGCACAACGTTATAATACAGGGTGTAAAAACGATTTACATATATAGGGACTTCAATGGTAATTTATTTATACTTACCTATTGAAATATTTTCTCCCCTCATTATTTCATAGCAAAGTTGTGAATACATTGTTTGTAGATTGGAAAGTTCTGATTGTGTGTCTATTCATGTGCCCATTTGTAATTTTTTGTTGTGTGAAATCGGAGAAATCAAGGAAATTATAAATTACAATTATAAATCTCATTTTTGTTTCAATAAATTTCATGGGACGAGTGATTGTAGTAAAAATCACTGGTGTCGTGAAATAATTGAAACAAAAATTTGATTTTTACGTAAATACTAAATTGTAATTTATTTCTTTTTCCGGTTTTCCAAATCGAAAAATCATAAACGAGAACATGAACAGACGCAGAATTTTTCAAGCTACAAAAAACCTATTTACAACTTTGCTCTAAATACATTAGGGGAGAAAATACTTCGATGTAAAGAAATTAGCATTGAAAATTGAAAACCATTTCTATCTTCTAGTCTTTATTGAGATATTTGAAAGAGTCTCCAAACGCCATTAAAAACATGTGCGTCTATTAGCTTTTAGGTGCACTATACAGTCTTCTAAATTCCATAAAAGAGCACGAATCTTCAAGGTAATTCGATAACCTTCAAAATTTTGGAAGGGCTTCCAAGTGTAACTAAGATCCTGTAGGGGTTTTTACAGCCTCAAAGAGCTAGGCCTGGAGTGCTTTGAAGACATGAACGTGAGTCTTATTGAGAAAATCACAATGTTTAAGAGTATTTAAAGCCCTTTATTTTTAACTTTAAGTAATTAAATTTAAGACATTTTAGAAGTTTTTTTAGATGAATTTTTCCATTATTATTGTTGTGATTTCGAAGGATGTTTGTGGTAAGTATATACCTATATGAAACAACAATTTGTTTGTTGTTTTATATATACACCTACAACAAAGGTTGTTTGTAGTAAATACCTATATAAAACAACAAGTTGTTTGTTGTTTTGTTGTTTTATATTATATACTTAGGTACCACAAACAACCTTTTAGGTTTTAGGTTTAGGATTGGTGAGTAGATTTACGCCATCGTTAGCCACCAAATGTTTCTTTTACAAAAGCTTGTTCTTTACATCCGTTCATAGGAAGCTTTTATTTAATCTTCCATTCCTGAATCTTGAATTTCAAACTCATTACGAGACATACGGGTTTATAGGTGCGTTTAAAGATCTTTAGGAGCCTTTTTAAAAATCGACGAGTATGGGGGGAGGTTTGGAGCCGTTTTACACTTCAGTATAAGAGTGACCAACAACCTCAAAAAGCCTCAATTTGTGATATTTATGAGACTCAGAACATGGGTTTTCCATGGGGTTTAAAGGTTTGCCATAACATTTAACAGGTTTTGTTTTGGGTATCTTCAGAAGTGTTACCTTATTTAACTTATCAAGAGTCTTCAAACGTCTTTCGCAATCTTTAAAAGAGGCCTATGGGAGCTATTATACAACATCTAAAGGTAATCGTTGCGGGCGTTCTTTAATTCCTTGTCGATGTTTAATCTCTGATAGAATGAAAATGATTGTTGATTGATGATGTTCTTCAGTACGACTGGTATTCTTTGACTTGATTTGATTTTATTTATTACTGTAGTTAAATTGAAGAGGACTAATTGAAGTGGATTCCGAATAGAAGAGCCTTACGGAAGGAAGAAGGAATTTTAAAAACAACTCTCGCCGCGTGTAGTGTTGGTTGCCTATTGCCATAAGCAGGTATATTCACCTATTCCAAATGAATAACGAAATCAGATTCACTCAACGGTTATTCCTTTTATTCAAAGGTTATTCACAGATAAAATACCGTATATTCCATGCATTGCATTGGGGTAAAAAATGCCCCCCCCCCCCTCACATTTCCCGCCAAACAGCTGAACCGATTGGAACAACACATCTTTTTGGAAATAAAAGAACATAGAACGCTTGTGTAGAAAAAATAGCGCCCCCCAACCTTTCCTTTGGGCCCACCTAAGTGTACATACACCCATAAAATTCCTTCTAACTGCGTGTCTAAGTCTCACGGAGTCAAATCAGGCGAATAGGGATTAGGAATCAACTGGAATCGTAAATCAACCAATTTCTGGAACGGAAACTAAAAAATGCACGCATGAATTGTCGTGGTTAAACAAGATTTTCTTCTTCACTTACCAGGTCGTTTCTTCGCGATTGCTACCTGCAAACGGGACGGTAATTTCCGCCTTCTTTGGAGCCCGTTCGCCAGGCTCAGTCCTTCGGTAGTGACCGCCCCATCAACATTTGATTCATATAATCTTAAGGGTATTATTGCAGTATGAGCATCTACTCCTTTCCGCACCCGACACCTCCTATACCAGAGAGTCTACTTCAAAACCCATTTTGTGTGGGTCTTTTTATTCAACAGTGCCCCGTTAGTTAACAAATGCCCAGTTTCACAAATGATAAAGTTTAATCATTGACTAAAAATATTATAAAATGTTAACCATCATTCAATTGTGGTGTTTAGCATTCTAATATTTTAATCACTGATTAACCTTATAATCATCTTAGGTAGGTACCCCTCAAATTCTTCTCAAGTTTTTATATAATCCTTTTCTTAAGTTCTCAATCGTCTTCATATTCTCCTCAAGCGTCTTCATAAGTCGCTCTCAAGGTTTTCAAATCTCTCTAATAATTACACCCTTCAGCGGTTCCTCAAAGTTCTTTTCCATTTTGTCTCATGTTCTCAATTTCCCACAAGATTAAAGTTCCCTTCTTAAAAAGTATCTCTAAAATTCATTAGTTTTTTCATGTGCACTGAAGCCCTAGCTCAGTAGTTCATCTTCTGTATCGAAAGAGATTTTCATATAATTCAGCAATTGCGAAATCATTTTCGTAAGTGCTTATTTTCTTAGTCGGCAGATATGGATCGAATTGTTCAGTTCTATATGCCCTCGAGTGCAGACTGTACATTATTTTAGCCCTTTTTTATCTATCTGCATCTTGGGTTGCCTAATTTAAGGGCGTTGTTGTACACAACCTGGGAAATTGAAAAGGAAGAACGTCTTCTGTTTCCTTATCAAAAACTTTTGTGAGAGGTCATAAAATTCAATTAATCAGGGTTTCATACTTCATTATTGATGATAAGGATATATGGTAAGCACAGTTGCTTTGCACAATGATATCAGTGACACCATATAATCAGTTTCCAGTGCCCATAGACAAAAAAGCTATGGTAATAAGTATAGGTAACAAAAAAGTATTGTTACAAGATTACAAACAAAGCGTTGGGGGGAAGAGGAGGTAATTTTTCAGTTGTCTAGTAAAGGACGCACAAAATTTTCAATGGGTTTCAATTTCAATTTATTTTTATACCAGCTAATTCAGCCTTCCTTAGGGAAAAAGTAAAAATCCTCAGTCATTTTAATTTTCAGAGTACATAAAAAATGCTCAGTTCAATAGTTGGATCCTTCCCATTCAATGCTTCCAATTATTTGTGAGAATTTCAGTCAAAATGCAATAAACATTTAATCATAATTTAGGTAGGTACACATTTTCTCACGGACACCAATATGCAAGCCCATATACTGGAATGTTAGTCCCCAAATAAAAAAAATCATGCTGTTTCTACAGCGCCATCTTGATCAAGTGGATTAGATAAATGCAGATTGCTGGATAGGCTTGCAAAATGAGTCAAGCAACACAAATATCTTCTGCTATGTTAGAACGAGCGTTGAGAGATGTGGATGATTATGAGCTGATATATCAACAGTGTATGTATATTCCTTTCGTTCGAGTGCAAAGAATTAACTTATAATTTTGTTGCTAGCATTAACTAAATTGAAGCAGTTAACTAAAGAAGCAGAAGTACTAAAGTGTGAAACACAAGTGCTAAAAAAATCAGTTGACGAATACAAAGAATCAGTAGCATATTATCAACAGAAGCACATTGTAAGTTTAAAAGTATAAAATTTTATTTTGTACACATTCAGAAATAACAGGAAACTTGCAAAAAAATTGAGGACACACAAATAAAGCAAAACACAGCCAAACTGGCAGATTTACACAACATTCAGCAAATGGCACAAATGGAATCTCTGCTAAATTCAAATAAAATTAAACTGGACGCTTTAGGTAATTCATATACGTTGAAACTCTAACCATTGCTAAACTTACTAGATATGAAAGTACCACAACTTTCCAAGCTAACAATCCAAAAGGACAATTTAATTCAGGAAAAAATCAGGCTCGAAGAGATCGTGCAAGCAAACGATATAAAATTACAAAAGATAACAGCAGAATTAATGTAAAACATTTTCTATTCATGTTCGATAATTTCTTG